CTGATGGGTGAGTTTTCTTTCATACCAGAACAAGACAGGAGGTCAACAACACTGGAACCTTCTTCTGGGCCAGGGTAAGGTTGAAGAGGTGCTGGCATGCAGTAGGTGGACCGAATGAAGCTGCTTGGTAAGTGAGAGTAAAATCAAAACATGACTGGAACTACATGGAACTACATGAACACAATCAAACCTAAGGACATGTCATACAGATAAAACGGAACTCAAATACGGCATAAAGAAAATACAAGAGCAAGTAAGAACCTAAAGCGCCAACTGGAAAACATAAACAATGATCAGAAGCAAGACCCAAAACTGAACTAAAACACCTTCATATCATGACAATATATTTATATTTATGAATGTGTGGTGCTAAACAAATTAGCTGTTTGGACATTCTCCTCAGTACGTTCTTCCACAGAGAAGAAGTCCATGGGTTCCAAGTCGTCCAGATCCTGAAGCAGCAGAGCAGGCCTGGACCGTCATACTAAAACCACCATGTTTGACTGTATGTATAATTTTCTATTTCCTAAATGCTGTGTTAGTTTTGCACCAGATGTATGTAACTTGATACACACCTTACAAAATATAGCTTTTCGAGTAACTTTGGTAGATCAACCCTTCCTGGGAAGGTTCTCCACTGTTCCATGTTTTCTGCCTTTATGGATGATGGTTCTCGCTGTGCTTCTCTGGAGTCCTAAAGCTGTGTAACTCTTTCCAGACTGACAGATGTCAGTGTTTGTTCCTCATCTGTTCTTGAATTTCATTTTCTTTGTTTTAGGTATTTTAGCCTACTTCCTGTTGTCAGAAAGGTTCTATTTGAGGAATTTGAGGTCAGGCAGTAATCAGACCTGTGTGTTGTTATTGAAATTGAACTCAGCTTTCCAACAATGTTGTTAATCACATTTAATACAGGGGGACCTGTACTTTGAGTTTGATTAGTAAACTTTAGAGATTGAAGCAAATCTGTCGGTTTCCAGAGTTTATTGTGAGAACATCTCGGTGTTGTTTTCATGTTATCTTTCAGCGAGTTTCTGAGTGTTACCTCATGATGAGGAGAAATGTGCCCCTTTGATTTTTGAGCTGAGCTCCAGTTGCATCACAGACTTATTAAGGCCGTCCAGCTGCATCTTATTTACTCCCATTTTACAAGACACTTGATGAGCCTGCAGCATCCTGCTTCACGCTGCAGAGGATAAATATTTAGCTGCATCTGTCCACTGCTGCCCTCGGACATTTCCCTCTGGGAGCTGTGAAGATGGAGCCGAGATCCATGCTGACCGACACTCTTATTAAAACAATGAAGCTCATAATTATCCTGGAATACCAAAGCAGTGCTATAGTCGTAATGAGGCCACACAGGAGCTGCAGAATAAAGAATGAATGTAATAAATAAGCCATTAGATGGGCAGTAAAAAGAGGAGGGTGTAAAAAGTGTTGAAATGAGTTCAGACAGGTCTCGTCTTCTCCTGATGAGCTCAGCCGAGTTTTTACTTTGAACCTTCGACTGTAGAATTTAGTAAAAATAAGTTTAAACTTTTTAGACAACTTTTTAAAAATATGTCAGTTTGTGATGATTACCATCCATCCATCCATCCATCCATCCATCCATCCATCCATCCATCCATCCATCCATCCACCCACCATCCATCCATCCATCCATCCATCCATCCATCCACCATCCATCCATCCATCCATCCATCCATCCATCCATCCACCCACCCACCATCCATCCATGTGTTTGCAGGACGACTGGGATGAAAATAATCCAGGAACTCTTCTAGGATTGGGATCCTCGATGACAAAAATCTTTTAAGTGTTGGGTGGAGGAATGGGGATGTTACAAAGTGGGATCAAGTTTACTTATGTTTGATGAATTTTAAACACAAATCAACTCTTCTTTTCTCCTGTGTGTCTGAAGAGGTTTGATGAGGAGAAAATCTAAAGAAAAACTGGAATATTTTCTCTGATTAGAAGTTGAAGATGTTTTTCTCCTCCTGGTTGTGTTGCTGCCGATCATTAAACCCCCGTCAAGCGAACCCGACCCACCTCTGTTCCTCCATTGCTCCATCAGATGCTCGCCCTCTTTTTAACGGCTGCTTTGAAGAACAAAGAATGATCATATCACTGGATGTATTAAAGTTCCCCAGAAGGACTCCTACAGTTTTATTAGTTTTACTGCTGCTGTCTCTTCCACGTTTCACTGCCTTCCTGGAGCAACTATAGCAGCAAAGTTAATGGCTAACGGAGAGGAAGTCAAAGCAAAACTTGGCTGATTGCAGCTATAACTCCTGCACATACTAATTACCAGTGGCTGTAAAATAAGTCAAAGTGGTCATCCTAATGAGTCCACCAGAGACCGATTGTTAAACTCCATTAAAAAGATCTATTTTCCTTCCCCTTTCATATTTGTGTTTTCTCCCTGCTGCACTGTCAGCGTCATCTTATCAAGCAGCCAAACAAACTCCTTTTTAAAGGTCATAATGCCGCATCCACACAAACTCAGTAATTAATGTGAAATTAAACCGAACAAATGCCTTTCCTTGAAACTGGGAGAAAAATCTTCCACCAAGAACAGTTCAGGTTGGAAACGACCTAATAGGGCACAGGAAATCAACTGAAGCAAACAAGATTCTGTTCAAAAATGAGATAAAGCTACATATTCACAGCTGTAGTTCTCCACATGTAAATTATTCCCAACACAAAGTGAAGAAACATTTCAGCTGCATATCATTCCTGTCAATAAACACCTCACAAGTTTATGCATGTCAGCAATTAAAGCTCTGCAGAGGTGCAGAAAGCTATAGAAAACATTGGTCTGAGTACTGAGTCCTCTGACAGGCAGCTGTTAGCTCCAACAGCTGGAGAGCAGAAGGTTCAGGAAGTTACTGATATACCTGTGAAGCTGTGTGAAACCTGTCAAATCAAAAGCTATATGCCATAAAAAGTGTCTGTTTCTCTGCAGGCCTAGCATCCAGAAGGAAAGAGTCCATCCTTACTGCTTTTAGGTAGCAGCCAGAAGCACGTGAGCTAATGCACTTCTTAGCATTAGTGTTGAAAAGATTATTCACAAGATGAAATCTTTCCTAATCCTACCAGGGATGGACAATCTAATTAGGTCTCCCCAAGGTAAGACCGCAAGAAACTCCGAAAAATGACCAAAAACCCAAAAGCTCCATCTTAGACTCTACAGGCATCAGTTAGCAGGTTTAGGGTCATGACAGGACGATTAGAACAACACTGAACCAGTATGGTGGTTTAAATGAGTTGAAGGAGAAAGCCTCTTCTCTTTAAAAAGTGCACGAGAAGCTCATATCAGCTGTCAGGAAAAGTGGAGGAGGGCTGATGGTTGGGGCGTGTTCGGCAGGCACAGGACCTCGCCATCTTGATGTCACTGACTCAGTGTTTGAGAGTCCAGGGGAGACCATCTGTCTAACAACTAAAGCTGGGTCATCAACAGATCCCATCAACAATCCTAAACACAGCAGCAGATCTAGAAAAGAATTACTGAAAAAAAGAAACAGAATCAAAGTGCTGCAATGGCCTAGTCAAAGTCCAGACTTTTCCGTCTTTGAAATACTATTATGGAACCTTCAGATAGCCGAGTAGAAACCTCAATGAACGGAAGCAACATTGCAAAGAAGAGCAGAGCAAAGTTTCTCCACAACGGTGTGAAAGACAGCTGAGTGTTCTGTTGGTGAAGGAGGCTCTACGGGCTTCTGTTTGGCTTCTACAAACTGCTGAAGGAGGTCCTACAGGCTGCTGGAGGAGGTTCTGCAGTTAGTGCATCACACAGAAACTGCTGGATGTGGAGCATGTCCTAAGCTGGCAAATAAAAGCTGTTACAGACCATGATAATACTGCCACACTGCAGAGAAACTTAGTCTGTCTAATCTCACAGACCTTCACAAGAAACCTTCTCTGTTTACAGCTCAGTGCTGTAGCTCTCAAACAGGAACTGGTTTCACCGAGTCACATGCGAACCCGCCTGCAAACACTCAGAGATGTTGCATAAGACCATATTTAGCAGATAACACTGGATGGCCAAGAAGCCAAACGATGCAAAATGGTTCATTTATCTCAATATTCCTCTCACAATAGAGGGCGTGTTTATCAAAGAAATGACTGATCATAATATCTGCCTTATTGGTCTCAACAGGAAACGCCACGACCATCTTGCAGATTACTCCTTGATGAGGAAAATGCAATTAAAACGTCAAGTGCGTTTTATTAGATTCTCCCCACCCTGCAGGGTTTTAGCAGCCCCGGGAGTCCCAGGATGATCGGGCGATGGATGAAACATATAGAGCTGCGAGCAACATTAGGAGCGCCGCACCAAAATAACAGCCGCTCGCTCCCAGATGAGTCGCCTTTTCATCAGCGTACAGAGCTGAACACGAGAGACTGAATGAAACCACGTTCAGCTGGATTTCAGCAACAACCTATTCTCTGACAGAAGAATCTGATTTGTTTGTCAGACGTTTAGCTTCAGCTTCATTTTGGAGACAAACTGCAGGTTTCTTTATCTCCCTGCAGACCTGCCTGTTTTCCAAACCCTGAAATGTGAAAAATAAATCTAGAGTTGTTACTTTAAGGCTGTATTATCAATGTTCCATTGTATTCCTGAGAACTGTAGGTGATTATGAAGCAGCTTTGTCATGTTCGTATTCAATCAGGAAGACCACAGAACCTGCTGGGACATCCACTCCTGGGAAGATCGGCAGCTGTCTGAGATGTTTTCCTCCTAGGAATACTATTTCTCTCTGTAGGATGATGGACTTCAGATGGTTTGGAGATGCCCTTTTAACCCTTCCCAGGTTGAGGGGCAGGTTGAGGTCATTGCTGAAGTCTTTCCATCTTGGCATTGTGTTAACACACAACTGTATGCTGGTGTTCACAATGATGAATCTAGGACACTTTTTTTGTGGCACTAGAGGCCTTTATTTTTCATTTTTCAACAGTAGGTAGACAGGAAAGAGGGCCAAAGAGAGGGGGAGACATTCAGCAAAGGTCGCCAGGTCCGGGACTTGAACCCAAGACAGCTGCATCGAGGACTATAGCCTCTACACATGGTTGCGTGCTTAACCCCTACACCACCATCGCCATGCCCCAAATCTAGGAGACTTTGGTATCTAAAGGAGTTCATGGTTGACTCAGTGACTGTTTGGGGCCCAACTCCTGCAGGTAGTCCAGAAAGTCAGCAGTGGTTTTGCAGCTGTTGTACATTTTGATCATGTAGAATTTGGAACAGGACTGTCCTGCTTGCCTACTCTGACCTGTACAACTTGTACAACCTTATCAGAGAGCATCTTTTAGAAAATGGCAGGAAAATGATCTTATAGGAGTTTTGGCAGCATCATGGCTGTCCTTCACTCTGAAGGAGGATTTTTGTAAACACACTGCATCCTGCCAAGTAAGAAAAAAATTGCATCAAGTTTCTCAAAAGGATGCCAATCCCTCCCTATCAATGGTCTCACCTGGTTGTCTTCAATGCTGAGAACAACACAACAACACCTGGGTTTGAGACGGGAAACTAATGGTCCAACATTTGACTTTGTTTAGACAGTTGCAGATAAAATAAATAAATAAGAAAAATCACATGACTTGCAGTAAGTTACACTATAGTTCGCTAGGTAAAGTCTAGTGCTGCTAATTTCAAACTACTATACTAATGCAGTTAGTTAAACACTAGCTGACACAAATGAGATGGTTTCAACACATATTTAAAAGAGTTACAACCATCTGGTTACATAAAACTAAGAATAATTTTTTGATTTATTCATTTGAAATCAGACGAGATTCAAGACTAGAAGAGCCTGTGTCACTTTATGTTTTGTAAAGCCTCCGATTGTCATAAAAGCAAACCAGGTGACTCTAGAGCAGGCAACAATTACCGGGTCTGGATTCAGGTTAAACAGGTTTATTAACACACAAGATAATTCAGCGGAGTAGTCCGGAAGTCCGGTTTCTTAGGATCGGTCACTGAGGAAGATAGATGGGTGAGTATGAATGACAGGAATGAACGAGAAGCTTGAGCTGATGATAAGTGTATCTTACTGTTGCATCCTGCTGCAGGAAGGTGAGAGAGAGAGAGGGAAAACACACCAGCACACAACACAAACCTGTGCTCAGCTCCGAGACATGACACTGAAAGGCCTTAGTTCGGGTCAGTTTTACATGGTTTGATTCATTTTCTATGGACCTCTGATTCCTCTACTGTAAATCATCTCACCATTTCTTGAGCTCTTGATGAACCAGGCACCTCAGTGTTGTCTCCAGCCCAGGCATTCAGTCTTTTGGGTATATGACCATTTCCAAAAGCAGAGCCAAGAAAAAAACTGGCAGGATCAGGAAGAAGAGACAGTCCTAGGAACAACTTCCTTTTTTTAAGAGGGATGCAATGTCTAATTCCTTGTGCAAAATGAAAATAACTCTATTAACAAGAAAATCAATTTGTGAAAGGGTAGAAATGAAGTCGCTACACTCTGCTGTGTTTTTCTGTGAAACAGAAGAAATTATAAATGGAATAATTCTTTAAAGGTTTTTACAAAAGTGTCTGATAATGATCTACTATAATGACATTTTCTTTCAGGGTCGGAGTAGTCATTTAGATTAAACTCGAAGGTTATTAAAATGGTCAGACAGTAAAGGGTTATGAGGAAATACTGTTACTTGTTCATACTCAGTGCCATATGTCAGCACAAGCTGTCTTTATACACAAGAGTATAAAGACAGCAGTAAGTAGGTCTGTGGATCTTTTAAGCAATGCCAATGAAATCTAAGGTAGCATAAAAGGCTACTAAAGGCTACAATTGTAGCTATGAACTGATCTGGGACTTATCAATAAATCGGACTGAAAGATGGTTGCCTCTTTTCCTCCTCCCAGTATTTTGAGGAATGTAAAAAATGTAATAATTAGACTCATTTTTACCTACATAATCCTTTATACTGCAGCCAGGTTTCAGTGAGACAAAATAAATCATTCTGATTATCACAAATCAAAGCATTATCTAACAAACTCTAACACACAAGATCTTATGTTCAATAAGCCACATTTAATTGTTTCATATGCCTGTCTTTCAGCCATGATCTATATCTCAGGACCATAGCTGAGGGTTGTAACGCTGACGAAACGGTAAATCCAGAGCTTCACCATTCAGCTCAGTTCCTTCTTCCCCACCACAGACTGGATCAATGTTCTCATTATCGCAGACGATGCTCTGATATCATCTGCCCATCTCCTACTCCATCCTACCATCAATCAGGAACACCCAGCAGAGAGGAAGAGACACCTTCTTTTTGTTCAACGAACTGTTACTGTTGAATAAGAAAGACCTACAGAGAGCTCATATAGGTTAGGATTACCTTTTTTATTTCAGAATGTTCTAATCCTACAGCAGAAGAAGGTTGGTCTGTTTGCTGTATGAACATCATTAGGTCATCTCTTCATGCAGAGTTATTCCCTCAGGAATCATTTTACAGAGAAACATTCCAGTTTCCTACAGAATCGGGTCCATCTCCTGCAGTATTTTATGTGCATTCATCCATCAGCTCCGACAGCTTCACTGAAGCTCGTCTATCCGTTTGATGGTTTTCCTGCTCCGAGCCAAACATATTTAAAAATTATTTTCCTCTGGATCTGGGAGCTGTTCTGGAAATGTTCCCAGGTATAATGCGACAAAAGAGTTGCTGAGTTTGCTGCCAAAAATCTCCTATTATTTAAATCTCCTCATATTTCGTATGTAATCATGTGCCAATATAAAATTATTAAAATGAAAACTGTGAAGTATAAAAACTGTGAAGGCTTCAGGTTTTACTTTTCCAGCAGGTTTCCTCTAAGTGTGAATGTGACACATATTATGCTGCTTTTAGGAAGATGGAGCTGCTGGTTTTAGCTCAGTTGTCTGTCACCTGAACACAGTTATAACCCTGGCAGCAGGTCTTCACTCAGAAACCAAGCTATCATGAACTGAGTTCCTACAGACACCAGGAAAGATGGATGAGAACTTTTCCAGGTCTGGAGTAAATTAAAAAGATCCAGAATTCCCAGCAAAACGTTTTATCATGCATGAATACATTTCTGTGTTGATCAGATCCAACTTTCATAAAAGTCTTAAATATTTTATTTAATTTGCAAATTCTTCTCATTCCAGCACTTTGTGCTCCTGGATCTAAAAGAGCAGCAAATGTTCTGCTTTAAACACATCAGTAATTAACGTCCGTCACAAGCATTCATGTTCAACTCCTCTAATTTATTTTACCTGCAGGAAAAATGTTTCTGATGTTTGAATAGAAACTAATTCATGCCCAGACCAAACCCTCTGATTCTCTTTCGTAAACTTGCTCACAGATATAATCTCTATTTGCCTTACAAGTTCCTGAAACTGATGAACAGCGAACATCTCCATCGTGGTGTTTTCTGTCTTTATTTGATGAAGCTTTTTATCAGACGTGGGCCACATCACCAGTCTGTGATCCTCCTGCAAACATCAAGCAAACATGAAGACATGCAAAACAACTTTCCAAACTGACACGTTGACAATTGGTGCTATCTTTCAAGTTGATTTTAACCTTCGCTCCCGCAGAAACGAGCAGCTTTCTCACTGTGTGAGTGGGTGTGGAGAGGGTGATGCTGTTTCTGTGACTGGAGAATTGTTAAATAATCACACATCGTGTGGAACAACTTAGATAGAACCATCTGTCCATGTCTACCTTCACCTCTCATCAACAAACATGTTTCACTCTGTTTAAGAGATGAATTCCTCAGCTGCAGCTCACCATCATCTCCTCTAGTCCTGCTTGTGGTGTTGAACATGTACATAGTAAATAGACATCTAAACAATGTTTCTTGTCAAAGCACTTTTACACTATGAGTCTGAATTACCCAGCTGCTCTCAGGCACATTAGTAAGGAGTAGGGATGGGTACCTCTCACATTTGAACCGATACGGTACCCATAGCCGGTACCTGGGAATCGATACCAGTACTCAACGGTACCAGTTTTCGGTACTATTGTGTGTGTTTATGTGGTAATAAATGTTAATTTGTTTAATAATAAAATTTGTAAAATTTCCAATTTTACATATTTATTTCTCAATATACATAAACTTTAATGGAAATATCAAAACAACATCCAGCTGTCTGTATTGTAACATCTCAGTTGTTTCAAACATTTCTTCAACATTAAAACCCAGCCATGTTGCTGCAGACGAGTCGCTAACAGGTGGAGGCGTGCTGACGGTGCTGAATGCAGAGTTGTAGCCGTAGATCTGCGGCTGATGAAACTTGTCTTTTTAACCTTGATAAAAATCTTGTGCTTAACCAGGTCAGTGTGAATACACACACACTCAGAAGAATATATGAATGGCTGGGCCCATGGTTTCCTCTGACTGCAGCCTGTTTAAACTGTCTACATATTCAACACAACATTCTTGTGGAACAAAACTCTATCTATCTATCTATCTATCTATCTATCTATCTATCTATCTATCTATCTATCTATCTATCTATCTATCTATCTATCTATCTATCTATCTATCTATCTATCTATCTATCTATCTATCTATCTATCTATCCATCCATCCATCCGGTGGTGACTGGACTGTAGCCGCGTGTCAGGGGCAGGGCGTGAAACACTTGGTCTATGTTGTGTACTTCTACCTTCTCCATATGTACCAGGAGAAGGAGAGTTAGTCCTGCTGCTGCTGCAGGAGAGGAAGTGCTGCCATCAAAACTAAATTTGGCGCTTTGTAAAGCCGCAGATATCCTTGCCTGATTTCTAGATTTTAGCTGCATGTTTTTGTGTCCACTGTCAGGAGCTTTTGTTCATCTGCGTGCGAGCATGCGTAACTCTGTGTGTCAGCGTCAGCGTTAGTGAAGCAGAGTATGAGGAGTGTGTATTTGTCCAGCTTTTGTCAAGTTTGGCCACAGAAAGTAGAGTAGCGGTGACGCAGAGACAGAAATCCTTCAAGATGTGATCTATTCAGATGAATGACATTAACTGTTGAAACGTATTATTACTACATGCCGTGCTCCTCTTAGGGGGGCAGTCTGGTCGGCGGGGCAGGGCGCCCCTATTGAATAGTGGTCAGGGAAACGCTGCAG